ACTCTTTAGTTTGATGTAGTCCAACTTACTGATTTTAGCCTTTGTTGTCTACACTTTTGGTATCTTATCTAAAAAATCATTGCCAAAACCAATGTCAATGAGGTTTTTCTCAGTGTTTTCTTCTAGGAGTTTTATGGTTTCAGGTCTTAAAACATTTAAGTTTTTAATCCATTTTGAGTTAACTTTTGTGAGTGGTGTAAGATAGGGATCCAGTTTCACTCTTTTGCATGTGGATATCCAGTTTTCCCACAACCATTTATTGAAGAGACTATCATCTCCCCATTGTGTGTTCTTGGCACCCTTGTCAAAGACTAGGTGACCCTATATGCATGGGTTTATTTCTGGGCTCTCTATTCTGTTCCATTGGTCTATGACCTTGTTTTTATGCCAGTACCACACATAAAATGGAATACAATGTGAACATTAAAGTAATGACATAGAGCTACATTTACTGATATGGAAAACTGTCTATGTCACATTGTTGAATGGGAAAGATCAAGTTACAAACAAAAAGTACAGTATATGTGTGTATAGTTATGTGCTGCGTAACAATGTTTTGGTCAACAACAGACCGAATATATGACAGTGGTCCCATAAGATTAGTACCATATAGCTTAGGTGTGAGATAGGTTATACCATCTAGGTTTGTGTAAGTACTGTAGGGGAGGAAGAAATTTTCCTCTACCCTTCTAGGTTCTTCTGGCTGGTCTAAGAATTAAAATGACATGAGACAGATTAACAGGAGAAAAACAAACAAAAGTTTAATATCATGTACACATGGGAGAAACCCAGGAAAACCAAGTAACTTACCAAAATGGTAGAAGCCCTCAACTTAAATACCATCCTCGGCTAAAGACAAAAGATGATGTTGTGGGTGGGGAGAGTCAGGGACTTCAAAGGGAAGGAGGGCAATTCACAGGTAGGTGAAAAGGAGCAAACATTTGGAAAACAAGTGTTTGGCCACATAGAAACAGAAGAACACAGAGGAGAGCCCAACAAACAGGCTTTTCCAGGTTCCTTCCTGTCTACCATCTAGTTCATATTATGCTAAGGTGATTGCTTGCTTCCTGAGGCAGGTTTTTTTTAATCTGAATTCTTTTAGGCAATTAAGGGGGAGGTAACAAGAAAAACTTGCTGAGTCTTTTGTTTCTTAAAAATAATCAGCCTAAAATAATCCTAATGTTAAAGAGACACATTTTGGGGTGGCAAATTTTGTTCCACTTCAGGACACTCGATGATGTTTGCACAATGACAAAATCACCTAATGACGCATTTCTCAGAATGTATCCCTGTTGTTAAGCGACGCATGACTATAATCACATAGAGAGGTGTTTTAAAGGATGTTCATTTCTGGACAGGAAGATTTCAAGTGATTTTTACTTTATTCTTTATACTTTATGGTACTGTTTTCTTTTTATTACAGTATTATTTATTCTTATAACCAAAATATTTTATTTTCATCTAAGGGCTTGCTTAATCATATGGATTTTGCTTACAAAATATCCTCTCCTTTACATTCATATAATTCAGGCCCTGTTTAATGTCTGCATTATTTCTTGCAATAGCCATGTAATAACAATAGTTGCCCTGTCTTAATAGTAATAACACATGATATCTATATAGTACTTCCCAGATTACAAAGTACTTTCAATACATTATCTCCAGTGAGACTTAAAAACAACTTTATCAGTAGGTACTGTATTATTATTGTCATTTACATTTAAAAAATCTCCAAAGTTACTGACCTTGAAGGAAACTTCTGACCTAAATTTCATGTATTTCCCATCACACCTTGTTGGACTTAAGCTGATTTGGGGTAAGGATAAACCCAAACTCCTTAACATGGTCTGGATGTAAAAAGGAGTACAGCATATTTTCCAGCACTGAAAGAAAGCTGACGTAGCTGGAAAGCAGAAAGGTGAGGTGGAGGGGCCTTAGATGCCATGTTAAGAAGTTAGAATTTATCCCAAAGGCAATGAGAAGCTGCTAAAGTGTTTTAAGCAAAAGTTTAATAACATGTACACATGGGAGAAACCCAGGAAAACCAAGTAACTCACCATTCTTTAGAGGAGTAAAATGATAAATTATCATTGTTTTGACCAGCGGTCTGCAAACTTTTTCTGTAAAGAGCCAGATAGTAAATATTTTAGGCTTTACAAGCCATATGGTCTCTTGCAACTACAGTCAGCCGTCTGTGGGTTCTGCAACTGCAGATTTGACCAGTTGCAGATTAAAAGGCCTATGATGGTTGCATCTATACTGAACATGTACAGACTTTTTTCCTTGTCATTATTCCCTAAACAATACAGTATAACAACTATTTATATAGCATTTACATTGTATTGGTATAATAAGTAAACTAGAGATAATTTAAAGTATGGGGGGATATGCGTAGGTTATATGCAAATATTATGCCATTTTATATAAGGGATATGAGTATCCGCGGATTCTGGTATTTGTGGGGGTCCTGGAACCAATCTCCCACAGACATCCAGGGACTACTGTACTCAGCTCTGCCACTGTAGAGCAAAAGCAGTCATAGACAGTACATAAACAAATGAGTTTGGCTGTGTTCCAATATTTATGGACACTGAAATTTGAATTTGAACATCATATATTTTTAAGTGTCACATAATACTATTCTTTTTTTAATTTTTTTCAATGATTTAAAACTGTAAAAAGGCATTCTTTGGCTGGATTTGGCTAGCAGGCCATAGTTTGCTGACCCCTAATTTAATGATGATCAGTTAGGCTACAGTGTAAAACAGACAAAGATGTTGGTCTTTTCAGGCCCATTTCCTCAGGTCTAGCACCCTCATATTAACTTTTTAGTATTCAAGGCCTGTTGATGTCATGCTGTATGTCTTTTGTCTCTCTACTACTGATAGATGCTAATGCAAAAACACTATTTTCAGGTTAACTGATACACTTTTTTGGTAACTCTTTTGTGTTCCATGTGGTATTATTTTTAGTCTTTTAGGAAGAGAGATCTTGGGGGTAGAAAATCATTTATATGCATGGATAATCCTGTTTATTTTGTAAACTTTTAAATTCAAAGAGGTAATATTTCTCAGCATACAGGCTAGACCTATAGACCTCTGGTTGGATTATAATTTAAATAGTAATAATTTATCTATTAGAGAACATGATAAATTCTATTAGACAATTTCAACATGGAGCCTCAAATATATATAGTGGATTCATGAACTTAAATGGAATTTTGTTTGAGGACTTAATGCTCTCCTAAGGCTCTTAATGCTTCCTTAAGGCAGACCTTGGGCTACAAATAAGCAAAGTTACATATGAAGAGTAGGGATGCAGCATTCTGAATAATGATTGTTCACTTTTACACATAAAAAGGTAAGTAGGGTTTTATCTTTTACACATAAAATTCCTTATGCATTAGAGTTAGGGTTAGCCTATTAGAAAGGCTATTTGGAGTAAAGAAATTTAAACTAACATGGAAATTTTCTTTTCTTTTTTTTTTTTTTTTTGGTGAGGAAGATTGTCCCTGAGCTAACATCTGTGACAATCTTCCTCTATTTTGTATGTGGGATGCCACCACAGCATAGCTTGACGAGCTGTGTGTAGGTCTGCGTGTGGGATCCGAACCTGCGAACACCGGGCCGCTAAAGTGGACCGTGCAAACTTAACCACTACACCACCAGGCCGGCCCCTGGAGATTTTCTTTATATTGTTACTGGCTAAATAACCTGAGACTAAATGCTGAAACAGATATGATTTGCAAACAAGTTTAGAAAGATGGCTTTGACCATTATACATTCATTAATAATCAAAGCAGTAGAAATTACAGAACAATATAATATATTGAGAGAGAAAGTTTGCCAGACACTAAACATTTAAATACTTATCTTTTCAGTTCTTATCTTGGCTAGAAAAAAGATTGAGACTATAGACATAAAAAAATAAAGAAATGTGAAGAAAATGTACCTTTTAATAGGGTGAAATTCATTGTGCAGAAGGTTCAGGTAAAAGAGCCTTCCAGAAGTTTTTGCTGTTTTCAAGAAGCTTTTGCTTTATTGTTTCTTTGACCACAATGAAATCTCTGTGGAGCAGAATATGCTGAGAAACCAGGAAAGAAACCCCACCTTTGTTTATCTGATCTCACTGCGATATTACGGTGAAAGAGCTTGTAAAATAAGAAGCTGATGCTGGGGCCGCCCGGTGGCGCAATCAGTTAAGTGCGCATGCTCCGCTGCCGCAGCCCGGGGTTCTCTGGTTTGGATCCCGGGCACGCACCGACGCACCGCTTGGCAAGCCATGCTGTGGCAGCGTCCCATATAAAGTGGAGGAAGATGGGCACGGATGTTAGCCCAGGGCCAGTCTTCCTCAGCAAAAAGAGGAGGATTGGCAGATGTTAGCACGGGGCTGATCTTCCTCACAAAAAAAAACCAAAAAAGCAGGGCACAAAGATCTCTAAGAAACCGGTCGATTTTACTGTTCTGTAGATAACAAATGGGAGGACTAAAGTGTATGTGAATTTATAACTTCTTGGATCCACTTTGCACTGTGGTTACTTCAAAAACACAAGTGAGAACATTCATATTTTGTTACTTCTCGGTAATATCCAAGGGACAAACTGAGCACACTCAAGATCTATGGGACATGTTTTGCCCTATGTTCTGGCATCTGTAGCTGTACTTCCTCAAAGAATGGATTAGAAAGACATTTAAGCTTATTAGATACAAAGGTGTCATCCTCTCACATCAAGGTACATGAGGAAAAAAGTTCAAGAATTATACATTCTTAGAAAACATAAAACATCCCTTTGGCCCTGGCAAGGAAAATGTCAACAAGTCAAAAGAGACTAGATGGCTATTGACCAGTTCCATGAAGGCAAAGCTGCAAGCCAAGATGGAATAATGCTTTCCCACCATGTGTCTAAGGCACAAATGACACTAATCCTTTTTAATGGTCACAAAAGCTGACAACTTAGCCTTAGAACTGAAGGCACAAAATCATCTCTGGGAATGACTCACCATAAACAGGTCACGAGCACCAATGTCAACAGCTAACAGAAATGCCTTTTCAAATCTCTGGTACCTATAAGGAAGAAATGTTATATGTTAGTTATGAACAAAATTATATATAAAAGGAGAGAGCTGTTTGTTTATTAATGTATTTATGTTAATGTTTTTGTTCTTCTGATGGGAAAAATATTTTCAAACAGTAGGGCCTTCGCCTGCTTGGATCTTCTATTTGTGAACTGTTATTGTACTTAGGAGGAGCTGAGGCACAGGGCCTGTGGAGGCCTTCAGTGCAACTTTCAAGGATAAGCATAACCCAGAGTGAGTGCTGCTGAATGTAGAGGAATGGTAGCTTAGGAAATATGTTTCTCATAATTTTTTATTTTATTGTGTTTTGTATGAGAAAAGTATGGGAATATGGAGAATATGACAGGATAAGAGTAATTAATAAATCATGTAATTATACATTTGTGTTTCTTAGGTAAAAGTTGAAAACTCAAATGTTGCATTATTAAAAAAGTCTCATATTTGTGAGTTCTGGAAAAAATACATTCTAGGCTGTTGTAAAATGATAATATAAATGGTTTCTAAATATTTTTTTAAAATATCACTTTTCTGCTCTTTTTTCACAATCATACTCTCTTTCCTTATAATTTTGAGAATTTTCTTTGTGAAACTTTAATTTTAGGCTAAGATACATGAGAACAGAGTGGAGTTTAAATTAATTACCTTTATAGAAAGTTTCAGATCTTGAGAGAAAAGCATGTCACGAACATATACTTTGCCCAGGATTTTGGAAAGAAAAGTCATCTTTATTTTGTCTGAATGCTAAGGTTTAACAGATATAACTGTCAGTTTTTCTGACTCTAGAAACAAACAGGTAAATAATCAAGTTGTGCTCTGTTCTCTATTTTATATTGTGAAATATAGTGGTACAACATATAATGAGATTGCAAATAAAACATATCAGAAATAGGGAATATTATTATTAACAGATTGCATACATTTTATTAGTGAAATAACTAAAATAATTAAAATTCAAACAAACAAGTCTTATTATTATTACATATAAGCTAGTAGGTCCAGAACCTGAAACATTTCACAATTTCCATGTTATGTTTGATGACTATTATCCCCATCTCCTCCTTGACCCTTCTTACTAGTACCTCTATCTAGTATTTGCCTGAATCCCTTTCAGCTATGGAAGATCAGAAGGCAATTGTGTTTATTTTTGTTTCAGGAAGCTTATTTATTCACTGTATATTCAGTGGAGGTGGGAGGTAATGAGGAAGAGGACTAGCAAGCTGTACTACTTGTCTACACACAACGCAGAATACTAACCACTATACGATCACGGCGAGCTACCGGAACGCCACTACTTGTCTATACGTTCACTGCCATTTTGCATTTGTCCCCACTCCACTGAAACTGTTCTGGCAATAGTAATCATTCCATCTTCTAAAGATCAAACTTAAAGAAAGTTCTCATCTTGTATGTCCTTTTCACCACATTTGATCCTATAAACTCCCCCTCCTTGAAACCCTCTTTTTCCTTGCATTTGGCGATGCCATTCTTTGTTTTTCCATTTCTTAGATTTCATTTTCTTATCTCCTTTCCTAGTTCATTTTTCTCTGCCTACTCCATGAAGCCGGCATTCTGTGTTCCTCTTTTATTTATACTCACTCACCCCAGTCTCCCCAGTAACCTTACCCACTCTCAGGGCATTGATAATTATATCAGTGACTCACAAATCTCTAAGATCCGTCTCTCCCCTGAGTGCCAAACTTATTTCCAGGTACCTCAAATTTAACATGTCTAACATGTCTATTGATACATCAGTTTGACAACCATACATATGATAAATTGAAATTGGAGAGAGTGAAATTAAGAGAGAGAAGTTAGGATGTACTCTTCTTTCCAGGCGAGAGGTAATGATGGACGTTATGATAAAATGAAAGAAGTGGCATCTGGCAGCGTGGTCAACCAGAAATACCAGAAGGAGCTCCCAAGTAGACTGCTTATAAAATATACATTAAAGTACATCACAGGACTCTAAAAAAATAAGGAAATGACCAAGGGTACTGCACTCTCTATCAAAAAAATAACCAAACAGACAAAATCCCTTGATTGAAACTAAGAGTAAAGATCTCTGAGCAAAGAGCAAATATGGGCAGGTGGGGTGTGTGAGGCAGAACTACTACTCTGAAGGCCATCACCCTCAGGAGACTGAGTTCTGAACAAGTCTCAAGGTAAAGGTGCTAAGCCCAAAACTTTTGATTACATGAGGGGCTAAAATGTTCCCAGGTTATTAGTACCTCTAACTTTGGCAGAAAGAATTTTAAAAAATTCACGTCTGGATTAAAGCATTTTTGATAGAAGCCCTCCGGATTACCATAAATTAAAACAAATATGAGTTCACAGAGATCACCAAATACACAAGAAAACAAGCTATTATAACAGAAAATTAGAAAATAAAAAACAGATTTACATCTCCATGATTTCAGATAACTGAATTATTAGAGAATATAAAATAATTCAGTATAAGATATTTAAAGAAGTAATGATAGAAGCATGAAAATAAGCATGTAACAAGATACAATTAAAAGTTACCAGATAGATTTTTTTTAAAGAATAAAATAGAACTTTTAGAAATGAAAAATTTAATTATTGAAGTTAACTTGGCACAGTTAAAGAAAGAATTAGTGGACTAAAAGATAGATAAATAAGGAATTATATAAAATGTTGAGCAGAGAGACAAGAGGTAAAAAATACAAAGAGAGGTTAAGCAATATAGAGAACATAAAAAAGTCTAACATGTCTAATCAAAGAATTAAGTTAATGGCTGAGAATTTCCAGAGCTGATAAATGATATGAATCAATAAACACAAGGGGAACAATGCATATCAAACAGAATAAATTGAAAGGAATCTATAATTGTGCACATTTGTAATGGCAATGCAGAACACCAAAAATGAAAAGATCTTAAAAACTGCCAGAGAGAAGCCAGGTCACCTACAAAAGAACTGTCATCAGATCTCCAGATGGCAGCAATGGGAGATAGAAGGCAATAGGAAAATATCTTCAAAATTATGAAGAAAAAATAAGCATCAATCTTGTATAACGGTGGAACTCTCTACAATGAAAGCAAAATAAAGACATTTTCGGATATACAAAACCTGAGAGCATTCAACAGATTTTCAATAAAGGGACATCTAGGGGACATATCTCAGGAAAAAGGAAAACAACCTCAGAAGGAAGGTCTGAGAAGAAGGAATGGCTTTAAAAAAAAAAGGATTCAGTTAATATACACACAGATAAATACACACATGCGTGCGCGCACACACACACACACAAATGTTTTGATATTTTTAAGATCAGAAAATACTAATTAGCAATATCATATAAATTAGAAGGGAGTTAAAGTGCTAAGGTCCTTCTTTTTGCACTGTTGAAGATACTAATTAATGTTTGAATTTGGTAACGATGCATAGTCAAATGTCAATGGTAAATGGTTTTTAGGAAAAAAGTTATTAGGGATAGAAAAGGTAAGAACAGAATAATAAAAGTTTCAAGTCTCCAGGAAGATACGAAAATTCTAGACTTAGATGCACTTAATAAAATAGGTTTAAAAATATATAAAGCAAAACTGATAGAATTAAAATAAATGATGAACCCACCAACATAATGGGAAATTTCAAAAGTTATCTGTGAATTTTTGCTAGGCCAAGCAATCAAAAAATTAGTAAAGAAAAAGTCTTAAAATAATTACAAACCTGGATTTATTAGATACATAGAACTTGTCAACCTTAAATTAGAGAATACACATCCTTCTCAAACACACATGGAATCTTCACCAAATTATATTACGTAGTAAGTAAAAAAGCATGTCTCAATAAATTTTAAAGAATAAATATTATAATGACTGTCAACAATGCAATTTTTGACAAAAAGATAAGCAATAGTCCACATGCATTTAGAAATTAAAAAGTCATTAGTCAAAGACATAATAATAGAAATTTTAAAATACTTAGAAATAAATGATAATTTAATATACAGAAAAATTTGACCAAATGAGACCTCTGAAGGGTAATTCATAGCCTTAAGTACTTATGTCAGAAAAGAAAAAAGGTTAAAATTTAATGAGCTTAATATCCCATTTAATAATTTAGAAAAAGAACAGTAGAATAATCTCAAAAGAAGACAGTAGAAGAACATGTTTGAAGTATTGAAAGGAAAAAAAATTGTCACACTGCATTCTATGTACAGGAAAAAGTGTCTTCCAGGAATGAAGGTGAAATAAAGATGTTTTCAAAGAAAAAAACAAAACAAAACTAAGAATACATATTCACCAGTAGAACTGCACTATAAGAAAGGCTAAAGGAAGTTCTTTAGGCTAAAATAAATGATACCAGATAGAAACTCAGTCCTTCAATAAAGATGGAAAGCAACACAAGTGGTAAATATAAAGGATTTTACTTGCTTTATTTCTTTAACTTATATAAGTCTGTTTAAAGCAAAAATTATAACATTGTTTTGTGGGGGTTATAACATATGTAGGTAATATATATGGCAACTATAGCATAAAGGATGGGGTAAGGTGGGTAAATGAACCAATTCAGTTGCAAAAATGTCTACATTTTACATGAAGTAGTACTATATTAATTCTGTGTAGACTGTGGAACATTAAGGGTGTATAATATAACCCTTAGAGAAACCACTAAAAAATATTATGTAAGAAGTATAGCTAAAAAAGCAAAATAAAATAAAATTCTGAAAAACATTCAAATGATCCAAAAGAAAGAAGGAAAGAAGGAATGGAGAAACAAAAATCAGAAGGGACAAACAGAAAACAAAATGGTAGACTGACTTCCAGCCACATCAGTAATTACATTAAGTATTAATAGGTCAAACACTCCATTAAAGAGACAAAGATTCTCAGAATGGATGAAAAAGCAAGACTCAACTATATGCTGTTTATAAGAAATCCACTATAAATATACAGACACAGGTAGTTTGAAAGTAAATGGATGGAAAACAGTAAGTATAAGAATGCTAGAGTGGCTATAATTATCAGAT